GGGCACACAGTTGGGCAGCGCTTCAGGACTGGCCCATCGGGCTCCTCTTTCAGGTGCAAGTCAGGCTTCACAGGAACTGGCTTCCAGTTACACGTGGGGTCAATGGTGATCTCCTCATAGAGATCTGGATGTAGATAAGGATCCCCATCCCTCGAGCAAGACTGTCTTATTGCAGACCGGGCACCTCCAAGTCCCCCGCTCACAGTTGAGCTGCAGGTACGACTCCAGATTGAAGCACTCTATGTGCTGACAGTCATGGCCACGGGCAGGCAGGTGGATCCTGCAGAAGGTGATGGGGCACTTCAGGGACACCTTAATGGCTGTCTGCTCCACCCAGTCTTCTCCATTGGGCCCAGGGGTACCTGGGATGGTGCCACTGCTGAAGTTGCGCTTTATCTTGGTGATGCAGTGCTCAGCCGGCAGGAGACGCTTCTTGATAAGGCCCTGCAGCACGGAGCAGACAGACGGGCGCTGTACCAGCTGTAGCATGAACAGGTGGGAACAGCAGCAGGCCATGATGGTGATCTGGATGGTGTTCCGGCCTGGCTGGCACACGTGTTTCAAGTAGAGGGGCTTGTGGGAGGTCTTGTTGTCTCCACGCTCAATGGTGAGTGGTGTGGCATTCACGCTGACCTGCGCGGATGCTGGCCAATTGGTGTTCATTTGTCGGTCTTCATGGTGGTAGCACTTGAACTGCAGCTCCAAGTCAGGCCTCAGCATCAGTGTTTTGTAGACAGAATCACGGAGCTGGAAGACATGGTTGCTCGCAGCCAGGTTGTGCAGCAGGCGGAAGAGCTACAGGACCACCCCTTCTCGCACTGGGAAGGTCAGCCATAGCTCATCACAAGGGCCATTTCCCGATGGGGAAGGGTGCAAGGTGCTTACGTTGGGCTTGAGGTCAGGCAGAAGGGGGACTTGATGTCCTGGCTTGGAGACATGTAGGGGACGCTACTACTGGGGGTAATGGGCAGCGTGGGGTTCCCCAGCAGTGGGGAGCTGGATATGGAGCGGGCAGGCCCGCTCAGACTTGGCTGGTTGTAGCTGAAGCTCCCGCCATTGAAGCTGGTATTCTGCACGTTGAACTGGTCTGTGGACTTGTAGTGCAGTGCTGCAGGGCTGGGGGCAGACAGGTACTGCCCCATGCCCTGCTGCAGGGGCAGCCTGTGTCCAGGTTAAGGAGAGGGTGCAGGGGGCTTCCCTGGATATACCTCGCTGGAGTAGACTCGTTTGACCCTCTGTCGGGGCAAAGGTTAAGTCTGGGAAGGCCCAGGCTGTGTGTGCTGCGGCACTGTCCTCCATATAAGGGTGTCATGCCCGGGTGGGATTCATGCCTGTGGGGGAGAGGCCAGTAGGGCCCATCACTCCTGCCATGCTGGGAGGGCTCATGCCAGGAGCCACACTGGGCCCTCGGGGACTTCCATGCTGCAGAAACTGGCTCTTAAAAGGCTGTCCGGCCCCTATCACTCCGACTGGCTCAGTTCCTGCGTCTGCTTCTCTTGGAGGGGAGCCACCGAAGCTGTGACAGTGGCGGTAACCACAGCAGCAGCCAAGTGAAGTCAGTGGTGAAGCTGGGGCCCCCGCGGCCATACACCCCCTGCTGCACATAGCCCTTGTTGGTGGTGCCCTCAGCAATGCTTGCTGCCCGAGGAATTGTGGTGAGTTCAGGGTGGACCTGCTGGGCATCATGGAGGTGTTGCTGACTCCCCACACGGTTGTTACCACTGAGAGTGACCCTGCAGGCTGGTTGGCACGGACTCATATGCAAATGAACCATCACCCTGCGGCGTGGGGGGCAGGCAGGTTTCATGGGGTTCATGGGCCACGGAGCAGCCCCAAGGCTGGGTCTGTGTGGGGAAGTAGCTGCCCTTGATGGTGTTTATCTGGGACTCCGCTGCTCTGGCTGCTGCGCACGCACGCCCTGCTGCCCGCTTCTCCATGCGCTCAGCCCGCCCGCTGCGCCACCCGCCGCCCAGCGCCCGCGGAGCGCGCCGCCGGTCCCACCGGCCGCCTCCCGCTGCACAATCGGGAGAATTTTTAAGAGCCATGGTTCACAGAAAACATTTTGGAAAATGTTGATTATACATATATAGTATCAAAAAACA